ACTCATCCTGAGGCAACCCTACCCAGGTTCCTTCTCTTGAATTTCCAAATGCAGTTTTACACAGACTCATCCTGAGGCAACCCTACCCGGGTTCCTTCTCTTGAATTTCCAGATGCAGTTTTACACGGACTCATCCTGAAGCAACCCTACCCAGGTTCCTTCTCATAATCTCCAGATGCAGTTTTACACTGACTCATCCTGAGGCAACCCTACCCAGGATCTTTCTCTTGAATTTCTAGATGCAGTTTTACATGGACTCATCCTGAGGAAACCCTACCCAGGTTCCTTCTTACAATTTCCAGATGCAGTTTTACCCAGACTCACCCTGAAGCTTCCCTACCCAGGCTCCCTCTCATATATCTCCTAAAACAGCCCTACCCAGGTTCCTTCTCATACACTTTCAGATGAAGTCTTACCCAGACTCATCCTGAAACAACCCTACACAAGTTTCTTCTGATACATTTCCAGATAGCAGTTAATTTCATTCACCCCAACAAATTACCGTGAAGCCTGGATTTCAACCAGAAAACAACAAACTTTCATCTCTCTAATCCAGAGATAACCCCTCAGTAAAGCCATGAACAACTGAAGTTCCTAGACTCTATTCCCCATAGAGTTTTCCTCAAAGAGGAAAACAACATAAATTAACATCCCCCGATGGACTCCTCCTCAGACAATAGGAACAAGAATCCCCATAAAGAGACCTCTTATGAAGTCAGCATCTACTCTGGATGGCATCTTTAAGCCCATCTCCGATGACTCTCCGTCATATTCTCTAGATGGCATCTTTAATCCCATCTCCGAAAACCTTCGGTCATCTATTCCAAATTGCATATTTAAGCCCATTCCTTACACAATCAACCATCACATCATCAACTGCAAATTTATGGGCACTCTAGTGTTCAATCATCTTCCACCTTCAGATCACGAAAGGAAGACAAGTCAATCTAAATCCTCAGGTTGAAGAAGATTAAACAGGGGCAGTTGTTGTACCCCAAAATTTTCCCTCCTATTTTAACACAAGACATACTCCTAGAGGTCCTCAATTTCTTAAGGTTGACCAAGAATTGATCAGACAAATTCTCCTCCTAAGCATTGGCCTTCCAACTAGGGTTTCATTTTTCACCAAGATGTGTGAGCTCCAAATATATCAAATGTATTCATTGTCCTAATATGTCTTCAAGATTATCCATGAAAAATTTCATACCTTGCACTACAAGCTTGCTCAATCAATTGCTCAAATGCTTGAAAATCAACTATACTAAGTCAAAAGTCAACTATGGTCTATATACAGTCAAACTTCAAGATTTTTGCTCAAAATCAAAATTTTCAAGTGATATCCATCATTTGATCAAGGGTTGATCATGATCCCTCAAGAAATGCTCCTGATTCATCAAAAGTCAAGAATTGCTAATTAGGGTTTCTATAGGAAAAGTCAACCAAACTTTGACCAGGCATAACTTTCTCATACTTCATCCATTTTTTCCCAAACAAATCTAATTTTGAAGAGAATACAATTCCCTACAACTTCTCTTCATCCCTCAAGTCCAAGAAATGCACCATTTGAAAGATACAAGCTTATACATTACAGGTCCTTTTTAGAAAGTCAACAAAAGGCACTTTTTGTCAAGACCATTTACATCAACATAAAATCTTCAAATGAAAAATTGATCAAATGATGGATTGTAGTAGACATCTTGGGCTTTCCAAAAAGTCAAAGATCATCATCATGAGATGAAAATTGAGAAAGTTATGGTTTTCCTAAGTTGGGAAAATTTGGGAATTTTCAAGAATTATTCATTGAGCAAACTTAAAGTTTTAGGTCAATGGCTTAATTTCTTGGACTTCAAACATCTTCATAAGCTTATAGAGGACCTGTAAAATTATTCTTGCCATGCCTTGCATTTGCTAACTATTTTATTCATATTTATTTTAATTTATTTCAAATAAATATAAAATAAAATATATAAAATAATTGGAAATGGGCTTTGAGCTTTGGGTTGATGTTTTGGACATCCTAGGCCCATAAAATTTCGTGCAAAGGTGTCCACATTCATTCATATTCAAAAAAGGACAAGTTTCCTTGTTTTTTTGCCAAAGTTACAAATTTCATTCATGGCTTTGAAATGTTTGCTTTAAGGTTGTTTAAACCATTGTTTTCTTGTCTCCTCATTCCTCTCTATACAAACAAGCATCTAGCAAGAATTTAAACATGCCTACACAGCCTAGAGAGAGCTATACCATTTTTGCAAAATTATCAAAAGCGGTAAAAATCCAGAACCCACTTTGCAGGTACTTTGGGTCCGAACTAGTAATCATGCATTGCTCTTGAGGTTCCCAGGAACTTGTTCCAACCATCCTCAAAGCTTGCAAGGTCCCAGATCACCGGATTCAAGCTATCACCATTTTGGTATAATCTCAAATTTGAATCTCTATTTTTATTAATTGTTGAATGTTCTAATGTGTGTATATGAGTTCCTAGATATCCTTAGAGCAGGTTAGGGGAATTACATGGAATGCATGACATCTAGAACATGAGATACCATGTACCATCAAGTACTTCCCACACTGGATCCAAGGATGGACTTGGGATTCACAAACCGGGCTTAGCGAAATTTCAATTCAATCCCCCATTTTACTTCAGTCGTCAAGCCCAATTCCTTTTCTTTTTGCTTTATTTAATTATTTCATCTCTTAATCATTTTAATTATAATAATAAAAAAATCACAAAATATTTAGGCTTAGACTTTTTTAATTAAATAATTAATTTTTTTAATTAATTAATTAATTAAAACTTTAACCTTTTTCTTAATTAAAAAAGAATTAGAATTTAAGTCTAATTACTTTCTTTTCATAATAAAAAACCCACAAAAAAGGCTTTGTTTATTTTTCTTAATTTAATTTTCTAAGTAGACTTTAGGATAATTAATTTAATTATTTTTCTTAAATCAAAAACAACAAAAAAGATTTTTCTTATTAGGTTTTAGACGAACTTTCAACCTTTCGCGCGTTATTTATTTTTTACATCTTTATATTCATGTAACTGCATACTGGATGTAATAATTAATAGGATTTTACCTGCTTTCTTTATTTTCCTTCTCCCAATTTTTGTACATTGTAAATATCCCCCTCCCCGAAAGCCATGTAATAGTTTAGATTTACATTTTTCGCACTTTATTTTCTATGCATATAACTGCTAGTAACTAGGCGTGTATGAAAAAACCGAAATCAAACATTAGCAAACTTAACAAAAAGACAAAAATAACTGAACTTAACACACTTGCACATATACACCTCTAGGGTACCCCACTTTGGTTGCCTTCAGAAATAAAATAGTCATGAGGCAGGAACGCTTTAGAAAAGTCCCATAAATCAAAAGATCATAGTCCCTCGATGACCCTACAGTTGCCTTCTCGGTAAATGATCTAGTCCCTAAACAAAATTGCTAAAGCGTCTCGACAAGTTGCCTTCGTGACTGTAACGTCCCCTTCGAATGTCCCTAATACATCCAACGATAGGGCTACCTACTCACTAATAGTAGGATAGCACTGTCTAAAGGATAGGAGGAAAACAACGACCCTTTTCGAGTATAAAAGTAGATAGTTGTTAGAAGTTTGCTCAAAACATTTTTCACTTACAAAAATACTACTTTTCAAAAACAATTTTCAAAACATTTGCTTTGTTAACACTCTTGAGGACTGATACAAGAGTTAAATGCAAAGAAAATCGCCGCACTAAGGCATTTTCCAAACATTTTCAAAACACACAAAGCATAAAGGTATTTCAAAATGAGAAACCTTTAAGAGCCCGTGGAAAACCACGGATAGAAAGGGTGCTAACACCTTCCCTTTCCATAACCTACCCCCCATTACTCAAACTCTCGAAAAGATCTTTTTTTGTTCTTTTCACCCTTTCCTTAATTTGGATAAAAGAAAAGTCGGTGGCGACTCTTGCTTACCGCAAAATTTGTGAACACAAACTCAAAAACCAGTATTAAACAGTCAGTTCTGCCACCGTATAACAAAATTCTATAGGGAGCATGCACTGAGAGCGAAGTCGTGATATCAATTTCTAAATTGAGTGACTCATCGATCAATAAGAAATCAAGGAAAGCGGTAAAATCCTATATGGAGCATGCACTGAGAGTGAAGTCGTGATCTCAATTTCTAAATTGAGTGACTTGTCGATCAACAACCAAAGAAACAAACACAAGCACAACACATATAACAAATGAAGTGAGGAATGCCTGCTACAGGTCTTTAAACAGCGACTCCGAGCGCACACTCTTTATTTCCTACTTCTCATGATATCTAGAAAGCAGTAAAGTGCTGAAATCAAATCAATAAGGGAAAATACCAAACGAACAAAACTTCGTAGCTGGCGGGCAAAATAGAGAAACCGGGAAAACTTCGAGTAAACTTCACCAAGCAAAGAAAAGAATTAGAAATCAAATGCTCAGGATAAGTGTCGAAGCATCATCGATATGAAAATAAATCACAATTGAAATCTCAAGCGCATCCATATATCGCACAATAAACATGCATAAGACTCAAATATCAACAAGCAAAGGTGAATTATAAATCTCAAATAATTGGATAATTTAATTCCTAAAAATATCTCTTAAAATCTAATATTTTTTATTAATGTTTTCGTTACATCAATATTTTATGAACAAAATTGTTATCTAACAATTATGAAAAGAAAAAGCTAAAGAAAAACTAGAAAAATTTCTACATAAGGGGTGTGAACCTGGAAACAGGTGGTGCTATAGTAGTTTGGGCGCTAGGGACCATCATGTTGAAGCCATAAGTTTTTTTTGTGTTTGGCTAATAGGCTTCAAAAAATGCTAATAGGCTTAGGGAGAATACTAGTTTGGTCTAGCCACACACAAAGCCCAATTTAACTTTTACATTTTTAGCATATGCAATCAATTTTAATAATTGTTTAACAATTTATAATCATGAGAGTTGAAGCAAAATGAAAAGTATAGTAAAAGATAAAACGATGTAGTTTGGAAAAAGGATAAGGTTCAAAAAAATTTGGCTTTTGATCTTCACGAAAAAAACAGCTCTTCTCCTTCACCAAACGGCGCCGAAAATAGAATTTCAATCTCACCTTTCTCATGCGAACTTCCAGCGCATTGCCGTCTTCTGCTCCTGCTTCCTCTTCACCGTTCATACAATTCCATTAACCTCTTCTCTGATCGAACTCGAATCGCGACAATCCTCTTCTTCGAATGTGAACCATGTTGTCCGCTTCTCTATTCAATCTTCTTCGCAGATTTCTGCCGCCGATCATCTCAAATCCTAAATCGCAGCGACGGCTATCTCAACCTCCTAATCACCTTTTTTGCTCTGCATCGAATGAAATAAATACCAACCCTATGTTTCTCCAAGTTCCAATTAAACATTCATGATCGAATCTTTGAGCTCGATTCCATGGGGATTCGATTATTCTCTTCTCACTCTACCCAATCGTATGAAGAACGATCAAAAGCAATGAAAATTGAAGCATTTTCGATGAAGTTAATCTTAGGTATTTTCAGTCTTCTCTTTTATATTCATCTTCTTCCCTTCTGATTTTATCCTTTTCTTCTGTTTGCATCTTCCGTTGTGATTTTCAGTGAATCTTGATGATGCGACTTCGTCTCCGTTCTTGCAGAAATATTGCGCTTGCTGTAATATGATTCACATGATGAATCGAAGACGGTGAAGATTGAAGATATTGAAGGATGAACGTGATTGTGATTGAAGAATGGAGCGTGTGGTTGAGAAACCGATAAATCTCTGAGATGAAGATGATGATACAAGTGTTGTGGATAAAGATTTGTATGCAGAGAGAGAGCTTTCTCTCAGTTTTATTGATGATGTTGCGTTTGTCGACTGAAGATGTACAAAGAGAGAAGATCAAGATTGTAGGTTATGAAGGTGAATTTCAGAGGTGGTTATGGTGATTCACGTGAAGCTTGAAGGTGGTGATTGAAGAACGAGAGGTTTCTTGATTTTTTTTCTGCGATTCTTCTGCGAACTGTGTAGAATGAGGCTGATGAAGATTTTCAAGAGTGGAGGCTGAAGATAAAGATTGCAAAGAATTTCTCAGAGAGAAAGATTGGAGAATTTTCTGGTTTTCAGTGGCTTTTCCCGAGTGAGAGTGAAGAAGCCAACTCAAAGATGAGTTTTTCTCTGTTATATAATTCAGTTGAGATCTGAAAGTTAGTTAGGTTGTTTGAATCTGAGCCCTTGCTTTCAAAAGTTTGTTACCCAAATAGATGGCTAGGATTACATCAGATACTGAGCTGGCTAATTCTGTTTCTGAATATTTTCTGATTTAATAATTCCTTCTTTATTCCTAACGCAAAACTTTCTTCTCCTTTTTTGTCATCATTGTTTCCTCTTTATAATATTTCTGATCTTTTCCTTGTATTGTTGAACTGGAATTTTGATTTAATTTTGATTTTTCTGTTAGTTTGTTATTATGTTAGGATGAGCTGGAAATTCTGATTTACTGCTCTTTTCCCATTATTCTCTGATCTTTTGTTTTCTTCTATCACCTTTTCTGATTTAAAACTGATGCACAGTATTGAAACAAGGGTTGTTTCACTTCTGAGTTGCGATTGTACTGTTAATTCCGATTTTCCGTATTGAGTACTTTCTTTTGCACTCATCTTCTAATCTCTGTTTGGATCAAACCCCACACTGTTTTAAAATTGTAAGCAGGCAGTCCACCGAAGAATAATGTAGAGCAATTTACAGTGTAGTTTTTTACTCTGGGTTTTTGATGAACTCTTGGTTTATTTTGGATAATATGCAGGCCATTACTTGAAGAATGCAGCATGTTAGTTCCGATAGGGCATAAAGGGGAGAATGGTTTGGAAGATTCAAACATTTTGGTGTAATTCATGATGGACCATCTTTGTGCAAGTTGGGATTGGTCCTCAAAAGAAGCGTGAACTTGAAGCCCACTAGCAAGGCATGGCTGAAAAGTAAGATTGCAAGGCATTCGGCATGAAGCTTTAGTTAAACCTTGGAACATGGAGAATGATTGAGATTAGGATAGACTTTGTTAGATTTAGGTTTTCTTGTAGTTTTGAATGAATTTTAATATATCTTGTAATTGAACTATGTAATGGACACGTATGGAATTTGTATAGGTTTTGCATGTAATTTGAACAAAAATGGTGTATGATATTTGAAATTGTAAGGACTTGGTAAATTTGTAAATGAACGAACTTGTTGGAATTTTTGTTGAATATGGAATGAAGAGGTTTTGAAATGGTTAATGGAACTTTGAATTGAAATTGGATGAAGAACTTTGTTGGAAATTTTGAATAGAATCAATTGGAACTTGAATCTTCCACTTGAAATTGAAAGTGATCTCATGCCTTGAAAAACGTTTGAAATGTTGTATCATTTTACCTTGGTAGCTTGAATTTCAAGAGATCAAGCATGGATGGATCTTTCAATTTACATGCTTGATTAATGCAACTCAAACTCAATTGAAACCATAAGTCCAAGTTAACTTGTGAATAAATTGACATGAACTTTCTTCCAATACTAGCATGAATTAACTCTTGACAAACATGTGCTTGAGAACCTTAACTAATCTTGAGATCATTCCTTATAACCTTTTCATTTACTTGTACCTTGCATTTCAGGAAATACTTATGACACTTGTACCTTAAGAAACTTGAATGGATACTTCCCTAATCAAATCCTCAATTCCCCATGAAACATTAACTTGCATTACAAGTAATAACAACTTGAGAGAACAATAATCCCTCGAGGAATCCTTTGAATAAGAAAGTAGCCTTAACAACACATTAATGAGAAAGTTCCATGAGAGCTTGAAGGGGACTAAAACCCGAGCCCAAAACATTCTCAATTGAAACATAATGAAGCCTTAAGCACAACAAGTTAAAACCCTTAATACTTTTTCTCTTTGATGTATATTGATGGAGATGACCTGTATCTTGGGGAATCTTGTCAATGAGGACATCTATGATGCTTGTGATCCAAAACCATAATACCAAGAGCTCTTTGATCTAATGTTTTAAGAGGTCAAATAAACGAAATGATTTATGATACAAATTCATATGATGTTATGAATGAGCATATTAGGGGTAAAAAAAGGGTATGGCAGTTGTAGGAATTTTAAATTCTTAATGACCACGACTCACAACCCTAATTCCACTGCCTAATGCGTAAAGAAGAAACCAGCCGTTATTGGATACGAACGCCTTAACCAGTGTAAAACCTTTATATTTCACAAACGTTGAACTTTGAACCAAAGAGCCATATTGAATGAAATGTATGCCATGTTAATGACCTAATGCAAAGATGCGAATGCGATGCTAAGCCTAAGCCAGATAATGAGAAGGAGGGCAAATTTTTGCGTGCAACAGTAGTTCGGCTCAATAGTTTTTGTAGGTTTGTATTTTTTATGTAACGACATCAATTTCGCATGCTACCTGCAACTCGACCTTTGGAGACTTACGCATATGGAGTATAAAGGAATTAATGTGCTAAAAAAGTTCTAGGAGGCGAATAATGCTATTGTCGCGACTCGTAACAAGTAGACATAATGCAACCCGACCCTTGGGAAATTACGCGTCGTATTGTGTAGAGGGACAATAACACATCTAGTTTGAAATTGAAAAGCCAAAAGGCAAGAAAAAAGAAGTTTTCATTTGTTTGTGTCTTTTACCTTTGTGAAAGAGTTTTGAGTTTATTAGAGGCATTTTGAAGATTTGCCAAGAAAGATGTATTTTATGCACATGCAAAGTGGGGAAAAAGGGAAAGTCTACGGAGGACTAACCTATTTCTAGCCTAGAGTTGTCATACCAAAATTGTCTTAAGGTTCAGACTAAGGTTTACTAGGAACCAACTCATCCGAGAAAGAACCATCCTAATTTCTATTCGGAATAAACTCATCGTCAAGAATAATCGTAAGTCCTAAGGGAGCATGGCAACTGGAAGAAAGCAAGTACGAAAGGTATAAAGAGATAAATGCGGGAGAAAACGACAAATGGAACAAAACTCATCATCGAGAGTGACCGACACAAAATAGGGAACAAACTCATCATCAAGAGTGACTGCGACACATAATATCCAAGTATTTATTTTCTTTTTATGCTTGTGCAACAAGTAAAATAAAGAAGGAGCAAACTCATCATTGAGAATGGACCAACCCAAGCCTCAAAGGGAACATCCCATCCGGGTATGAACGGCGCACAATATTATTATTCCTTTCTTTGTATTTCTGACATAATTATAAATGACAAAAAGTAATCTAAACTGAATCCACTTGGAACAAACTCATCATCGAGAAGAATCCAAGACTAAGTACCGAACTCATCATCGAAAATGACACCAAACAAGACATGCGAGAAAAATAAACACGCGTGCATAATTGCCTATTCAAAGATAGGACTTTAAACAAGAACAATTAGCATACGGAAAGTGGTGCCTGCTATAGGACTTTAAATAGATACTTCGAGCGCACGCACTTTATTTCCTACTTACTACTTCACATGATTTCTAGAAAGCGGTAAATGCCCCTACTATACATGATCTCTAGAAAGCGGTAAATGTAATATTACAACAAACGGATCGAAACCATACCAAACAGATAATAAAAATCCTCAAATAAACTCAATGCATGGCGAATGCTCGGAGGGTGCCACAAGCTAACATCAACAACAAATAGCGTCATAAGCATGAATAATATGTGCGAGCAAAACCTATTCGTCACCAAAGCAATCGACATCCAACTTGCTCTTAAAATATGCACATCTCACAAAATTTGTTAGTAGATAACAACAAGATCAAATGCGATAGTAGCTGTTATACGGTGGGAGAACTGACTTGAGGTTTTGCGTTTGTGTTCGCAAATGTTTCGGTTTAGCAAGAGTCGCCACCGACTTTTTATTTTATCCTAAGGAAAGGTCAAAAAAGCACAGGAAATACCTTTGAGATGTTTTCTTGGGTTTGGGGAGTAGATTATAGAAAGGGAAGGTATTAGCACCATTTCTATCCATGGTTATCCATGGGCTCTTAGTTACTTACTTAGATCACTTGCTTTGCTTTTCAATTGTTTGAAATGGTGCTTTGTGTGTGGTTTTGAAAGATTTTGGAAAAGAGACCATCGTTGTGGCAACCTTTGTAATGATTCTTGTTTGAATGTATACAAAGGTGTTTTTGTCTTTCGAAAAGTTTTCAATGTTTTGAAAGTAGGGTTTTAAAATTTGTGTTGTGAAGTGTGTTTTGAAGATAGCAAGGATGTTTTTGCAAGTTTTGATCAAGTAACTAAGAGTTGTCTACCCTATTTTACTCAAAGATCTTTCTTATGTTTTTAACCCTTTTAATAGTGTTGTTTCACCATTGTATTTGGTGAACAACCTTGTGTTAAGATATTAAACGGGACAGACGCGGGTCATCGTATGGACCATGATAGCAATTGTGTCAAGTATTTTTAGCAATTTTTTTTGAGGGACTTAATCATTTTGTTTAGGCAACTCAGATAGCGTCATCGAGGGACTATGATCTTTTGTTTTGCCAAAATACTTGACATGCATACCATGGCCCATTTTTGAAGTCAACAAGTGGATTGTAACCTTAGGGGTGCAAGTATGCATTGTGTTTGTTTTTCATGCATTTTTGTCTTTTGATTAGGTCAAATTATTTGTTGATTTGATTTTGCATACAAACCCAAAGTCTAATCGTGGCATAATTGAAAGCTTAAAGGTGCGAGAACTTAAATTCTACACTATTACAACATGATATAGGGAGGGGGTACAATTTTGAATAGGGGATTATTTAGACAAGAAATTAAATTCTAAATTATTACAACCAAATCGAATGTTTAAGACATAACAATTAAATGTACAATATATAAATAAATACAATAAATAAATATTAAATAAAATGTATTATGCAAAAAAAAGTTTTTTATATGTATGTAAAAAGTATTTTTAATGTGAAATGTAAATAAATAAAAAGTCAATTTTAATTATTTTTGTTTTTAGGGCAAAAACCCTAATTTCTTAAATAAATAGTATTATTTATTATTCATATACAATAAGGTATCAATTTGTACAAAAAAATAAAGTATATTGAAAAAGGGTATTTTTAGTATAAAATATTAATAAAAATAAAAAATGTATTATCTTTGTGTTTTTTGTTCTAATTATTTAATAAAATATAATATATATATATATATATATATATATATATATATATATATATATATATATATATATATATATATATATATATCTATATATATATATATATATATATATATATATATATATATATATATATATATATATATATATATATATATATATATATATATATATATATATATATATATATATATATATATATATATATATATATATATATATATACATATATATACATGTATATATATGTATATATATATGTATATATATATGTATATATATGTATATATATATATGTATATATACATATATATACATGTATATATATGTATATATACATGTATATATATATATGTATATATATGTATATATATATATGTATATATACATATATATACATGTATATATATGTATATATACATGTATATATATATATATATATATATATATATATATATATATATATATATATATATATATATATATATATATATATATATATATATATATATATATATATATATATATATATATATATATATATATATATATATATATATATATATATATATTAAATGTGTATAAAAATAAAATAAATTATTTACAAAATGTATATATTTCATGAAAATATTTTCAAATGTGTATAAAAATAATAAATAAAAATAAATATATTATTTGTATTATTTTTTAATTTAAACAAAATGATATAAAAGCATATAAACATTTTTATACTAGTAAAAATAAAAATAAATACCAAATAAATGTAAAAAATTATAAAAATGTTTTTGGATCATTTTTTATGTTTGAAAATAAA